CAGACAACCTCTCGTCAATATGCGTTTTTCGCATTGCATTGCTGCAAAAAACGCATAAAAACCGCATTTTTGTACCGAAAACGTACTGCAATGTATCAAAATTGTACTATATTTCATGCCTAGGCAGCACAGTGCAATGAAAAATAATACTGTTTTCATGCCGAAGATCATGGATTCGACACTGTTAGTCAGATAATCAGTCCCTCTACTATTCGTTCATTTGTTTCGATTTTACCAGTTGTCACTGACACATATAAATGAGTCAAACCCGTCATCAGCTTGCTTTTGAGCAGCTCTCGACAGACAGAACTCTTGAGAGCAGATGGCTGCTGTTGGCATTTACTATCGCTAGAGCCACTTCTGAGTAACATCACCTTATCATAAAGAGTGAAAAAAACAGAAGCAGTTTTGACTTCTGATTTTCATTAAATTTTCTATGTAAAAACGGATAGGCCGTGGATTGTTGGAAGAAAGCGCGTTGATGTCCCAGTAATTTTTTTCTGCTGAACCAGGACTCTGCCCACTTCCCTCGTCATCCCATATATTTATATGGCTGGCAAAATTTTAGCGCCAGAGCTTGTTTGGTTGTCGAGTTAAAATCTTGGACACACACACACACACATACAGACACACACGTATACACATACGCACACATACACATACATAGGCACATCATGCATCATCACAATATGCGTTTTTGCATCCACATACTATCCAAAACGTCAACACTGAAATATGATGTGTAGATTAATTGACAAGGCAGGGCAATGTTGTGCTTGAATTTCGCCCTAATTTTGCATTGTGATATCAGCTCTTCTGTTAACGATAGTGTTGTATTGCGCAGGGCTCAAAAGGCTTTTAACAGTAAAAAGTAAAGTTAAAAAAAAGTTCACTTATTCAAAATTATTAACCTTAACGCAGATTTCTTTTGCAATCTTGTCGCTTCCATTCTGTACGCACACATAGAAAGTGAACGTTTCACCCAAATAGATATTCCTTCAAAAATTCGACCGATTATACAGATTTAGGAATCAGTTTTGACTGTGCCGTTCAAGAAACCACACGTAATGCACTCCGGGCCACTAAGCCGGTAATAGTTCTTCAAAAAAATATCAAAGCTTACTCAAATTTCTGTGGTGCCATGAGATATTTTCCAATTGGGACATCTGGTGCTTCCTGGCCGGTCAATCGGCATAATGTGGAGCCAATTAACTGGCTTGTTGGATCGGCCGGATCAACAGGTATGCAGACATTCTCGTAAAATTTTGGCCGAGCCAATCGCATCACTGCAGAAATATTACTGCAGTTCCTTACACGGTTCCTTACATCGTAGAAGGCAAAATTCGCTGGGTAGGGCAGACTGCTTATCTTGCCTGTATATTTCAACATATATAGGTGTGGGTTAATTCTACAAGTTAAATATTTGCAGTTACACTTGTGATATGTGTAGTTAAATTTGCACTAAAACTTATATGAAATGTGCATAGTTCAGATTATTTATAACAGCGATATGTCTTCTAGTTAAGTCCTAGAGATTTGAAATTTTACGAGAATATTCTATGCCAATAAGTGAGACAAATATTTCAAATCCAGCTTTAAAAGAGGTCTAGCCCACGTGTGCGCACAAGTGGATGTTAAGTTTGAGGGCAATCGGTGGAGGTTACGCATCAGTGAATGGTACTTGCGAGAAAGTAAACGACCACTCAAGTGCGACCCCCAAACAGGTGACGCACACATATCACACTCCCAGCTTCACACCTTCAGTTAGCACCCAGGCGATGGATACTAACTGGAGGTATGGAGCTTAAAATCCAAGGGCCAGACGAAGTTGTGCCTGACGTGAAGGAGCATTTCTCACACATCAGATTACCATCAAAGACTGCCCGTGTAACAGTGATACTGTGTTTGTGGTTACAGACAGATTGTCCGTGTGCGTCTGTATGTGCGTGTGTGCATGCGCAGGTGTATATAAAGATGTGTGCGCTTGTGTATGCCTGTATGTGCGTGTATATGTGGTTCCAGTCCTATTTCGTCTGTTTTTCCCCTGTTTTGACAAATGTTTGTATCTAGTACCAATATGTTGGCCTTGTTTCTATATGAAATTGCTCTTAGCATCGACGAAGAGTATGTTTATTCCTGTTTCCTGACATGTGATTATATCTCAGTACTACAGACCGCTTGACGTTAAGAGAGTTTAGGTTTTTCTTGATAAAGTGCTACATTTTTGTTACGAAAAAACGTGAAAAAATCTCTTAATAGATCTGAAAAATGTTTGGTAATCCAAATTTGTTGCGAAAGAAGTGATGCTTTTAAGAGAAATGCACTGAATTTATTTAGCCCTCCTTTCTGCATTGTACGCTGAAAGACGATACATAGAGACGTGGTGTTGCTGATAAGATGAACGACCAACAAATAACAACGACAAAACGGCTAACAAACGGAGAACGGAGCTCCTTATATAGCATGCGCGTGTAAACGTGCAGCAGTGCAGCATACGTGACATATGGTAGGCTGCGGCATGACACGACGCAAGAATTACATTTTAGCGGGAACATAGCACTTTAAAAGTATGTAATGAAAAAATCCACGACTTATTGGACCGAAACGTCTTATCTCTTTGTTTTGTTCCAGTTACTCTTCTAGCTTTCTTGTTGTCTTCAACTTTCTACCTTTTCCAGTTTTGCCCGTAGAATCTAAGCACGTAATGGAATAGAAACTCCATTTAACTCAAAAACTTGAAATCAGGGACCTTTCAGCGTCAAAATTTGTTCTTTCGTCCCTTCGGCCATTTGATCAGTTTATCGAGGAAATTCGGTTCCCCTTTCTCCAAAAATAAAAATATCTGCCTGACTTCAAGCAATGCTGAAACACCGTTAAAATCATTAGTTCCATCTAGAATTTTTAGAATTCTGTTTTGCGAAGAATCGTCATGTGCTGATTTTTTGTCAATGCATATTTGCTCTCTATTACGTATTCTATTGCCTTTGACAGATAAGCAAAACTTTGATAATAAATGGCAACGCGCACCAGACTAGCCGGTGCGATCATGCGTTTTGTGCAATTCAGCCCA